ACAAAAAAAAAAAAAATTAAAAATTAGCTGGCTATGGTAGTGCGCATCTGTAGTCCTAGCTACTCAGGAGGCTGAGGCGGGAGGATCTCTTGAGCCTAAGAGTTCAAGGCTGTGGTAAGCTATGATAATACCATTGCACTCCAGCCCCAGTGACAGAGCTAGACCCTGTCTCGTGGAGGCCACGGGAGATCCTTAATTTAATGACGTCTGCACAGTCTCATTTTGTCCTACAAATTAGCATATTCACAGTTTCCGGGGATTCATCCATGGCTACCTTGGGGATGGTAGGGGCGTTATTCTGCCTACCACAGTGACCTTCAATTTAACCTCTTTGTGCCTCAGTCTTCTCATCACCTAAAACGGAAACAAAGTCTGCACCACATATTGTTGTTGGGAAAATTGAATTAGCTGATGGACACGGAGAGCAAATTCTGGTACCTAGGAAGGGCTCAATAAATATTCACTCTTGGTATCATTGCTTGCATATTTTAGGAGTCACCTGGACTCCTCAGTAGATGCTTAGCAGTAGATCCATGGGGATGAATAAAGGCTGGTTGGGGGGCTTGTTAACCATCTGCCCAGTGAGGAAAGCCTTGGCACATAGCCCGCGTGTGGGCAGTATGTGTTTGTGTGTGTGTGTGTGTGTGTGTGTGTGTGTGTAAGGGAGAAAGCGTACTGATATTGAGATGATTATCTGATCCTACCTTGAAAGCTGGAGAGGGACATAAGCCTGGCCCTGGAGACCCTCACACAGACAGAGGACTGGGCAGATACCAAACTGATGGAGAGACCCCAGGGCCTGAAGTGATGCCTTCTGGTCAGGGAGAAATCAAGTCTTCCTGGAACCATGGCATTGGAGCCCAGCAGTCCTGTTGGCTCAGTCCTCGTTTGACTAAGGGAGATTCCCAAAGCCTAATTCCCTCTCGTCCCAGATGAGAAATTAGATAATTATAAACTGGAGGCTGGTTTGAGATGCTGATTTCCTGATTGCCTGACTCCCTAGAAGAGGACTGGCAGCACGGAGGGCATCTACCTGGTTAGATTCCTGAGAGGCCTTAGCTGGGTCTGTCGGCACCGCAGCCCGGCCTGGTCTGTGGTCTCACTGCACCGGCCTCCCCGTCAGGTGAGGTGGAGCTATGCTAGGGAGGAAAGAGGCAGTCCCTGGAGCTCAATTACTGCAGCTCCTGGGCGGCCTGAGGGAATCACCAGTTTGGCAGCTGTGCACACGGGGCTGAGGCCAGGCGTGGTGTTGAGTGCTTGGGGGCTGGGGAGGGATTTGTGAGAGAAGCACAGTGTCCCTGCTCTAGGCCAGGCCCAAGGGGTGGTGAAGCCCACAGGAGGCCCAGAGTCTGCCCCTTTGTTCCTCTGCAGGCCTTGCAGAAGTGAGGCAGAGGTGGAGGAGGGTGGTCAGAGCTTTGTCTAGCCTGAAGCAGCAGCTAGGAATTGTAGCCAGAGTCAGGGTCAGAGAAGGCCTGGGCAGTTCAGTTCAAGGCAAGAGCCCACAAGTCGACCTGAAGCACAGCTCTGGCATTGGAAGCACTCCCTTGTGATGGGAGACAGATGGACATTGCCGTTCAGTGAGCCACCATGGCTAAAAGAGGGGTGCCCGAAGCCCGCAGGGCACAGAGGTAGCACTGTGTTACCAGAAAGGCAGGACAGGCTGCTGGGGAGTTGGGTGGGGTCCTGCTGAGGGGCTCCTGCAGGGTGAGAAGGAGATTCCCAGGTGGAGCAGAGGGCTAGCTTGAAGAGTAGGTACACAGGCAGGAAGCAGCCAGAGGAACGGTCCCCTGCCTCCCCAGGGGTAGCAGGCCCTGGCCAGGTGTGCAGTTGGTTGGCAGCAGAGCATTCTGAGAGAACTTCTAGAGAAAGCCTGGCCTGGGCTGCTCCCCTAGAAGTGGGGGAGGGAACTCAGAGCCCTGCCACTCTGGCCTTGCCCTCTCCTGAGGAGCAATTTATAAATGCCCATTTCTCTCCTATGTGACTGAGGACAGGGCCCCTCGCCTGACTGCGGTTAAAAGCCTTTGAGGTCTGGGGCCCACCTTTCCTGCCTTTCCTCCACACAAGACCCTACCAGCAGTGTGGTTTCAGGTCTCTGGTGCCTATTAGGTATCATGGAGCAGGCCAGGGGCCAGCTGCCAGTGCCGGGGAAGGGACAGAGACCAGCCTGGGTGGAGGGGGGTTGGCATGGACTGGTCACAGCCCCAGTGTGTCTCCTTGGAGACCCTGCTTATTGCTGTGGTAGCACTGTCCTGGCAGTGATGACTCCCAGGGGCAGGACCCCCCTGCGGTGGTGGCGTGGCCGGCCTGCACTGCTCGCTTTCCTTGACCCCACACACGCTCTTCAACATGCTCATCATGTGCACCATCCTCACCAACTGCGTGTTCATGGCCCAGCACGACCCTCCACCCTGGACCAAGTATGTCGAGTAAGTAAATCTTCAGGGCCTCTTCTCCACGTGGCCCTCTCTCTTCCTTTCCATTCCATGCCATGGCTCCTGAAGCTGCCCCGGAAGGGGGCTGTGTCCAGGCCCAGGAACTTACCCGTGGCGGTGGGGCAGCCTTTGGCTCAGCTTCTACCCTCTTTTGCCTTTCCCAGTCCTGCCAACTTCTGGCATTAATTTGAGTCATGCCTTTTAGGGAGGAAGCTCTCCAGATTGGCAAAGCAGGGAGTTTCTCCCTGTTCTGCCTAAAGAGGAATGATGACATTGGAGAAGGCTCTGAAATAATAATAATTTATTGAGCATTTTGTACACGCCAGGCACTGTCATAAGAACAGTAAGCATCATCTCCTTTAACCCTCATGGCCACCCAGTAGGGTGGGTGCAGCCACCTTCCCCATTCCACAGATAAGACTAAGAATTAGAGAAATAGCTGGCCTGATGTCATGCAGCTAGGAAGTGGACAGCTAGGAGGTGCCCCAGGGCTATCCCCACTTCAGTAACACAGTCTGCTGCCTTTTTTTCCCAAGTCCTGCCTCCTATAACCATTTGCACAGTTCCAGAAACTGCTTCTGGTCTTTTCTTCCCAAACAAAAGTACCTTGCCTGGAGGTTCTAAGCAGATTTGATAGGCGCTTACTGCATTTGCCTGCAGTTTTCAGGAGACCAGCAGAATGTTGGGGCAGCCTCTCTTCCCAAAGCAGCCTGCCTGGTTGTTCTCCACGTTCACATAGATCCTAGCAGTGCTCTCAGCTGGTACATGCAGCTGCTCTGAATCCTGGGATGCAGTCCTATCCCGCTTCAGCCCTGGGGGCCCCAGTCCTAGCATCCAGGCATTTTGGATTCTTCAGGCTGCCCTAGGCAGAGAGAACAGCACTCCAACTCCCACCAGCCCCATGCATTATAACATCACCCTTCAAGCCCAAGGTGGACAGCTGGACCCACCTACCCTGTAAGCAGCTGAGGATTGACTGGGCCCATTGCTAGCTGCTGAGGACCCACAAACAGGGGTGAGGGTCCATGTATATGTCCTATAGCACAGACCCTGTGGCCACTGTATGCCTGTTAGACGCACAGCCCCCCAGGGCTAGGGTAAGGAGATTGGGAGGAGGTCTTCTTCCACCAAGACAACTGAGAGAGAACACAGAGAGTTCAGATGGACACATGGCAGTTACACGATAATATGGAATAAACAAATTGGACGATGGATTCATTAGCCAGATGTTTAGAGCAAAGCTCCATCCCCAACTTCAGCTCTACCATGGGGGCATTGCAGAGAGCCCCGTTTGATGGCCCCTGTTGAAGGGAGCTGTGTGGGCTCGCACCATGTAGGGAACCTGGAGAACCTGGCCTGCTCAGGCCTCCCTGAGAAACCCCATCGGCCTCTCCTGCCCAGGTACACCTTCACCGCCATTTACACCTTTGAGTCTCTGGTCAAGATTCTGGCTCGAGGCTTCTGCCTGCATGCGTTCACCTTCCTTCGGGACCCATGGAACTGGCTGGACTTCAGTGTGATTGTCATGGCGTAAGTATCTCGTTTGCTATGCTGTGCTATGCCATGCAGGCCACACTAGGGTGGAGTGTGCACACCCCAGGTCCCGGACCACCCCTCTCTTTCTGGCTTCCTCCCTGCAGTCCACATGCAGCTCTGTACACAGGCTGGAGGAAGGTAGGGTGGAGGCCCTCAGCTCATCCTGGTGGGGAGCGATGGCTCAGGCAGGCCTTGGTGGTCAGGCCTACTGGCTCACCTGGGGCTCCACAGCAGCTCTGGGCTCCAGGGACACCATTAAGATTCTGGTTTTGCATCCTCTGCCCTTTCCACCAAGAGAAAACAATATTTCAATTCCTGGCCCACTGCAAATGGTGACCTGGATTTCAAGATGATTAAGAATGAAATTGCAGTCAAGAGAAGGAGCCTGGAGAAGTGACTAAGCATCCCCAGGAACTCGCACCAGGCACACCGGCACATCAGCTTGCTCCATCCAGAGACTCAATGCTTGGCACATTTTAAAGCACCCGGCCACTGACACAATACAGTGGATCCTCACACCAGCCAGAGAAGTAGGGTACATGGGGATGGCTTAGCCCATTTTATGGGTGAGAAAACTGATGCCAAGAACACACAGGGAGCCTGCCAGAAAGTGCAAGTGACCCCAGGCCTGCCGCAGCCCAGGCCGAGGCCCCGCCTCTTAGCCTAGGAGAAACTCTTGCTGAGGGGTCAGTGTTGAGGCTGCACTCCACCGTGGAAGTGTCAGGGAACAGATGCTGGGTTCTGATGGGACATCTGCAGAAGTCGTGATCAGAGGCTCAGCCATCAAAGCCTTTTTGAAGGCTGAGTGCAGTGGCGCACGCCTGTAATTCCAGCACTTTGGGAGGCCGAGGTGAGCAGATTACTTGAGCTCAAGACTAGCCTGGGCAACATAGCAAGGCCCCATGTCTATGAAAAACACAAGAATTAGCTGGGCATTGTGGCACACACATGCAGTCTCAGCTACTCGGAAGGCTGAAGCGAGAGAGGATCACTTGAGCCTGTGAAGTCAAGGATGCAGTGAGCTGTGATCACATCACTGCACTCCAGCCTGGGCAACAGAGCAAGACTGTCTCAAGAAAAGAGAAAAAAGAAAAAAGCCTTTCTGAAGCAGAGGACCTAGTGTGTGCAGGGTTGAGCACTGCACCTCAGCAAGGAGCAGAGCTGGTAAGGCTCATACCCCCTGCCCTTGCAAACCCTCAGTTTCCCAACATGTGAAAGGATAGTGTTGGGTGCTGTGGTATCAGAAGTTCAGTTCAGCTCTCACTTTCTAGGATGCTTGGAATGCCTGAATCTACCTGTTGAAGACAGCCTTTAACCCCAGGCATGAGCAGCCCTGAGCTCAGCCATGCTGTCGGGGAGAGAGGACAAAGAGGGAAGCTATACCCTGGTGAATGGGGCACTTTCAAACTAGATGGAGAACCTGGTAGTGGGAAAATGCATCAGAATCTCTGTTTCTAGGTATACTATTTGTGAGCCAACTCTAGCCCTCCATTTTACAAGTGGGAAAACTGGCTCTGAGAGACAATATCACTTGCCCCAAACCCTATATGGATTTAGGCCTGGGTGGAGTTGAGCGAGCGAGGAAAGAGTGATGGGAGATGAAGTTGCAGAGTAGTGGGATGGAGGACAGATTGTGGTAAAAGCCAGGTGTGATGGGAGTCACTGGGGTTTAAGAACAGGCAGAGCTGTGACCTGCTTTACATTCTGTAGAGACTTCCCCAGCTATGGTGTGGACCACAGACTGGAGAAGGTAGAGAAAGACGGAGTAGTTAGGAGGCTATATCTTGGTAGCCAGGAGAGAGAAGATAGTGACTGGAACCAAGGACCAAGTGGAGAAGGGGAGCACCTGGTCAGATTCTGGACATATTTTGCAGGTAGGGCTGACAGGAGGCCCCCAAGGTGGTTTTTGGTTTGAGCAGCTGCTGGGTGGATGGTGTTCCCATTGGTTGAAATGGAAAATTGGAGAGAGTGGCACTGGCTGGAGTAGGAAGAGAATCAAAAATCCAGTTAGGGATGTATGACATTTGAAGGCACCCAGGGTGAGATATTGAGTAGGCAACTGGATACGCCAGTCTAGGGTTCAATAAAGAGGTCCAAGGTGGAGGTATAAATTTAGAAACCGTGGGGATACAGATGGTATTTAAAGCCAGGAGACCAGATGAGATCACCTAGGCATGAGTGTAACCTGTAGCCTGAATGTACTATGGCATGCTCCAACATCTGGAGGCCAAGAGAGAAGACTGGAGGGCAGAGGCAAATCAGAAGAGGGTAATGTCTAGGAAGGAATGTGATTCCAATGGAAACCTGCCACCAGGAGGTTGGAGAAGGTGATGACTAAGAATGGACTATTGGATTTCACAGTGGGAAGGTCACTGGTGCCCTTGACAAGAGGGATTCCAGTGGAGAAAAAGGACATGCACCTGGTTAAGGAGGGTTCGAGAGAGAGTGGGAGGAGAGGAGGTGTGGCAAGTAGAGACATCTATTTTGTGGGGATTGCTATAAAATGGGACCGAAAATGGTGTGGTGGTCCATGCAGAATGTGGGTCAATCAAGGGAGGGCTTTTAAAGAAGGGGGGTATCTTTGCAGGCTGGTGAAAATGATCCAGTAGAGAGGGGATGCCAGATGATGTAGATGAGCAAGGGGATTGCAGGAGCAAAGCCCTTGAGCTGGCCCAAGAGGTTGGGAATCCAGTGCCAAGGGGGAGCGTCAACCTGAAGAGCAGGGAAGGCAGAATTTCAGGTGGAGATGGAGGTAGATTGATAGAGTTGATGATGAAAGAGAAAGGAATTTCTCTTCTGATTGCTTCTATTTTCTCAGTGAAGTAAGAAGCTGGATCATCAGCTGAGAACAGAGTCGGGAGGCACATCTGAGGTTTCAGAGAGAGGAAGAACTTTTCATGTCAGAGCCGAGGAGGTTGCACTGACTTGGGAATGGAGTAAGATTGCCAGGCTGGGCCCTGGGGTGCCCTGTGGGTGGGAAGCAGTAATCCACGGGGTCCTGAGGCTGAGTGTCACAGGAAGGAAGGTGGCTTCGGGCAGGAGAGGATATAGCGTCTGCCTGAGCCTTTCCTAGCTCCCCAGCCTGGAGCCTGGGCAAGACAATGTCACCACAGAGGCAGCCCCAGATCCCAGGAAGTCATTGCCCTGGCCCAAGCTTTGGCTCAAGCTGTGTCTCTAGAAGATGCCCTGAGTGACCTCAGGCCCTTAAGCAGTCCTTCTGCCCTGTCTCCTGGGAGAATCCTGGTTTCATTCCCAAACCACTTCTTCCACTGGGAGTCACAAAGCAGGTGTGCCTTCCTCGCCAAAACCTGCTTGCCTTCGCTGTGTGCCAGGGCCAGGGCTGACAAGGCAGAACTCAGCCTCAGAAGCTCAGACACTCTCCATGTTTCCAAGCACCTCATAGAAATGGCACATCCACTTCCCAAAGGGCTGTGTGACCTATTGGCACATCAGCTGTTGGGCCCTTGGCTGGCCTGGCCTGGCAGCTTCGATTGACGGGGATTCTGGCTTGTGAAAACCAGTTAATTACTGCGTTTGAAATGCATTCTCTTAGCGATGCAATGGTTCAGTAACAAGGGATTCTAGGATAATCAAAGGAGACTTGAGTGAAGGGAAACATTCCATTCAGTGAAATCCTCCATCTGACCTCTATTACACAGATGGAGAAACTGAGGCTCAGAGAACCTCACACTTGTCCAAAGTTATAGACTGAATCAGAAGCAATGCTGAGACTAAAACCAAGTCTCTCAACTCCAAACCATGGGATGGATGGGAGAGGCATGCCGAGTCTGATATTTCTGCTGGGGTGATCCTCCACCCCACTGATTTAGAGGCTGGCTGTGGGAGGGTCTGGGACAGGGTGCTGGGAAGCCTGCCAGGCTCAGCTTGCAGCCCTCCAGCCAGAGCTCTTCCTGTGGCCCCACTCACAGAAGGGCATTACCTGCTAGTTAGCACAGCCTCCCACCTCCTGGGGTTGTTATGGAAACCAAACCTGGAGGGGAAGGGAGGAGGGTGGCAATTCCTGCAGTCACTAACGGCGTGGGCTTCACCATCTCAAGATAAGGGTGGGCAGGAAGAAGGCTTCCCTGCACTGGGGCTGGTGATGGGATAGGATTCTCACCCACCACCCTTTGCTCTTTCTGCCCCTGTCTGTTGTCCAGCTGTCTGCCCCTGGCCAGCAGCTTAGCCATCACTGAAGGAGCAGACTGGCTTGGAGGAGAGTTTTGCCAGCCTGAGAGGGGCAATGCTCTGTCTGCTCACGTGACCCCACACTTGCCACCTCTGCAACTGGCCCTGTGTCATACCAAGCATTCCTCCTGCCCTGCCACACTCAGAGGACCCAAAAGAGGCCTCGGTGGGGATCTGGGTGGAATAAGAGAGGCAATAGCCCACCATGTCACCAACATGGTCCCAGACATTCCACACCCTTACCCTGCAAGTCCTCTTTTAAGACTTCCCCTAACTCATGATTGCTCTCCCAGACAGACACACGGCCACCAGCTGCACTCCTATTTCCAGCCACTCAGCTGGCTTTGCAAGCCTGCCAGGAGCACAGATATGGTCCTCCCTTATTCTGTCACTAAGCTGTCCTTGTCACCTTGGGACACCAGCTGCCTAGAAGGCAGACAATGAATGGAGGCCAAGCACTGTCTGTGCTGGGGACACTGTGCTGGGGGCAGGTTCCACCCCAGGACAGGCAAAGATAGGCAGAATCTAAGCTAGAGATAGGCAGAGTTTTCAATGGAGACACCAGGGGACAGACTGGGTCTGTAAGGGACAGGAGGGAAGCAAGGACGGTTGGTTCCCTCTCTGACCTGCACAGTATTCCACTCACTCCCTGTAATTAGAAGAGACAGCCTTGAAACCAGTATCCTGGGCAAGGGGAGCTGCTGTCCCCAGGCACAGTTGGTAGAACAGCAACCAAAAAAGGAGCCCAGAGCCTCCAGCAGGCCAGAGCCGTGGTTTCCATGGGATGGCAATGTCAGCAATATCCCAGGCTCAGCCAGAAAGTCCTGTGGCAGCACCATGTCTGGAGAGAGACCAAGAGAAGAATGTGGGACAGAGGCCTTAGGGTCTGAGCCATCATGGAGAATGGAATAGCTCTCAGAAATTGAGAGGGACCTTGGATCAAATTAGCAGGTGTATGTGGACCAAAACAAGCACGGTGACTTCTGCTCCCCAGCAGACGATGGGACTGCATCTGACTGCCACACTGGAGAAAGATGTACATGCTGAAGTGAATACAGGAGATGGAATGGAAACCACACCACAGAAAGGGTCTGGTGTCGCCAGAGGAAAGCAAGCTTTGGGAATGTGTCTGCTGACATCATCTGTGTAGGGCTTTGTGAGTAAGGAAAGATCAGCGTGGTGCATAGGGCCATGTGAAGATGGAGGGGCTCCTCCAGTGGACGTAGAGAAATCTGCTGTCAACCCAGTGTCAGTTAGAGCTGGACCTATGGACCCCAGGGCATTAAGCCCCTTGACGCAGCTGGCCAAGTTCTTTCCTGTAGATATTCAAAGCCTGAAGGGGAATTGGGAAGCTGGGAGCAGACTGGAAGGGCCTGGAGGTCCAGACTGCCCAGCAGAGTGAGTCTGGCAACAGTGCCAGCCCACCCTTGCACTCACCCAGAGCCACAGGGCTGACGTCCTATGTCTGACATCACTCAGACACCTGCGTCAGACGCACTTGGTTAAACATCAGACATCCCGAGTCCAGTGTCCTTTGTTAAACACCAGACACCTTCGGTTAAATGTCACACACCCTGGATGCAAAGCCTTTGATTAAATGTCACAAGTCACTTGCCACTGTCCCGATGGCCTTGGTTACACACTGTCCATGGTCCTCGTGGTCATGTGGCCCATCTACTGCATGTTCTCATGCTCTGGTGCTTGGGCAGGTCCCTGCCCGCCAGCGACCACCTTCTTTCTCCTGTCCCTGTGGAGGCCATGGATCAGCAACTGTCCAAGTTCCAGGAGGGGGCCCACAGCCGCTCACCCTGTTGAGCCTCGCTCGGACCCAAGTAGGACAGACCCCAGGAAGGGCATCTTGCCTCTGGAGGCCAGTCCTCCGGTGGAGACCCAGAGCCATCCCTGGAAGATACCAAGGGTCTGGGGGTGGGACCAGTAGACTTGTTGGGAAGGCACTCCACTGCCTTGGGGCCCCTCATCCTGCCCTTTTCTCTTCTTGGGTTGCTCCTTGCCTGTGAGTAGTTGAAGAACTCAGGCAACCTCTCTTCCCATCTTCCAGCGCCTCTGTCTTGGGAACTCTGTTTTTTCCAATGAGTATTCAGGCCACCTCCGCCTCGTGACTTCAGGGACTTCTGAGCCAGGCACAAGCTGATCAACAGATGGAGGTTCCACAGAAGATGTAGACCAAAACTAGGACCAGAAACGCACTTGCTTCCTGTATCACCTGACCTGAGCCTCTTGGAAAACAGGCTTCTCTCTTCACTCTGATGTGTCCCCAGCCCCAGACCCCACATGTGGCTTCATGTCATGGATCCCAGTGGTGTGGAGACAGTGGCAAAGTGGTTGCCTCCTAGCACCGGTTATCCATGGCACCATCACCAAGAGAGTCGCCGGGAAGCTTGCCGTGTGGACATCCTTACGGCACTGAAGCTGAAGTCCTGTGTTAGGAGGGTTAAAATCCAGAAGAAAACCTGAGGGAGGTCCTGGGCTATCCACAGCACTGCCCCCCCACCATGGGAGGGGGCCAAGGGAGAGGGCTGGTCGGGGAGGGCAGGCGGAGGTTCTGCTTTGTAATTCCCAATAACTGTGGTTTGATTCTGCAGGTATGTATCAGAAAATATAAAACTAGGCAATTTGTCGGCTCTTCGAACTTTCAGAGTCCTGAGAGCTCTAAAAACTATTTCAGTTATCCCAGGTAAGCTGCCCAGGTTTGCCTCTCAGATCTCAGCTACAAGTGACTCTCTCTCTGTCTTCCCCACCCCCTTTCCTCCTCTGACTGTGTGTCTCCTATTGGCGTGTTGTCATTGTCTCGTGTGTGAATTTCCCTTGTTACAGATACACAACTGAATTTGTGGACCTGGGCAATGTCTCAGCCTTACGCACCTTCCGAGTCCTCCGGGCCCTGAAAACTATATCAGTCATTTCAGGTGAAAATCAGGTTAAACGCCAAGGCTGGAGGGATACGCCTGGGCCTTTCCAGCCACCTGGGAGCCCAGGCAACCCTCCAGAAGGCCCTTCAAATGTGCCTGTCACCAGAATACCTTTCCTAGGGCTCAGGTGCCAGGGGCTAGTGGCAGTGGACATGCCTGTCCCCCTGGAGCCTCAGAATGGGCTTCAGGCTGCCCACCGCAGCAAAGCCCACTCTCACAGACACCAGGGGGCACAGAGCACCCCACGGTGGGGCCCACGTTGAACCCAATTTTTTTCCAAGATAGTGGACTACTTTTCCAAACCACACTCAGCTATTTGAATAGCTAAAAGTTTTACATGAATTGCTTCAGCCTGAAATGTCAGCTTCTGATGAGGAAACCAAAAGAAATGCATTTGCGGGAACCCCCATACACACCTGGAATGAAAGAGGAAACCTCCAGCACAGTCTTTCATGACTGAGTGCCTCGGCCCGCCTTGTGCCCCATCCGGTGATATAAGTAGGGCCAGAGCCCCAGCCCCATTTTGCGAAACAAAGTGTAATCTGTGGACAGGCATCATCGGGCCTTGGTGTCTAACAGCCCTCGCTGCATGGTGCGGTAGAGGTTTAGCAAACCATGCATGGTAGCCTCAGGAAGAAATTCTCCTTGACAGATGTTGGCAATTGCATCTGGGAAATCTCCTAGGCCCAGATGACCTCTCTAGAAATCATTCCACCCGTCCATTCAGGAAAACTCTGAAAAGACTTGTGATTTCTGAGCCTGCTTGTGCGATGTGCCGGTGCTGAAGCTGAGTTCCACCCAGGAGACATTGCTGTCCTAAGTTTGTATTCCCTCTCCCCAGACTCAAAGCTCCTCCTGTTTGGAGGAATTTGCTCTGGAGGGGCAGTGCCCAGAGGTTCATTCCAGAAGTCTTTTCGGAAAGCAGCCACACTTAGAATTGGGGGAGGCACTTCTTTTAAAAACGCAGCTTGGCCGGGCGCGGTGGCTCACGCCTGTAATCCCAGCACTTTGAGTGGCCGAGGCGGGTGGATCACTTGAGGTCAGGAGTTCAAGACCATCCTGGCCAACATGGTGAAACCCCGTCTCTACTAAAAATAGAAAAAGTAGTTGGGCATGGTAGCGCACTCATGTAATCCCAGCTACTCAGGAGGCTGAGGCAGGAGAATCACTTCAGCCCAGAAGGTGGAGGTTGCAGTGAGCCGAGATCACACCACTGCACTCCAGCCTGGGCAACCTAGTGAGACTCTGTCTCAAAAAAAAAAAAAAAAAGAAGAAAAGAAGGCGGCTGGAAATAGGTTGCATGCCATCATTCTGGGGAGGTGTGAGAGCTGACAGGAGGATCGGTTGAACCAGATGGCTACATCCACTCCTGATGTGGAACCTGGTGGCTCCCAGGCCTATTGCCTGCTTTGAGCTATGTTGCCCCCAAGGAGTCAGAAGCACTGCTCTAAGCTCCAGTAAGGAATCTGGACTCCCCGTGGTAGGGCTAGTTATCTTGCCAGAGGAGTCCCCAGTTATGCTATGTTCACACTGAGCTTTCTAACCTCTAAACCCACTGTTCGTAAGGGCCGCATCTCCCCCAGGGCTCCTACAAGTGGCCCAGACCCCTGCCAAGGGCCAGTAGCAAGGGGACAGTCTGCTCCCGCTCAGTCCCACGGAGCCACCTGCATTGAGACAGACATCATGGGCCTTGGCACGCATAGACTCAGAAACCACATGGTCTCTCCTCTAGGGCCAGGGGACAGCCTCACAAGCACACACCCCACCAAAGTAGACAAACACTGACCACAGGACTTAAGGCATATTCCTGGTGTGTTTTATAAGAAACATTTACAAAGGGAAATATTTCTCAGTCCTGGGGAAAAGGAGGAAGCCCACCAATCTTAGCCTAGCTCCATGGGACCTATTCAAAGCTGCCAGCAACCTAGTGAGCCAGCAGGCTCTGAAAGTGGCCAATAGAAAAATGCTGTGGTTGGCATTATGGAAGGCTCTCGGGAGGAGGTGTCCTCTGATCTGAGTCTGAAATAGCCCTAGTCCTCTCTAGACTCAAGTCGCTTTTCCATAAAATGAGAGTGAAATCAGAATTGGTGGTTTCCAAGGGCTCTTCCACCCAGCCTGTTAATTCAGTGGCAGGAGGATTTCCCAGTTGATATACTGGAGCGCATCCCTTCCTGGGTCTTTTCAGAAAGAATCCTGCAATTCTGTTGCAACCATTCTTGCCAGAAGTGAAATCTATCATCAGTATGAGAAATGTTCAAAGGGGTGAGTTATCCTTGGCCACTATGTCCACAGACCAGGTCAGGGGGTACTTTGCTGGCCTTGAATGGGATACTTCAGGCCAAAGAGACTTTAGCCTAACAATTGAGGCAGAGACCAGTTTGGGTATTCGAGCTGCTGTCCATCAGTCTTCACTTCGTTCCCCTCAAGACATGCAGGTGTCCAGCCCAGTAAACCCACCAAAGGGTACAGGAAGCTCCGTTACAGATGAGGAGCACTGGACCATGAAGAGCTTGTGGATCCCACCACCACCACTACTCTGGGCCCAGACCTGCGAGGTCCACCCACTGCCCAGGCAGTTGCCAACATCTGCCAGGACGATTTCCACAAGGAAGGCTGAGTGCCTCTGAGCGCTGGGCAGGCAGCAGTGTCAGTGGCACCATGGGGAGGTCATCGTCTCCCCATCTTGTATTTGCCCACCATGGCCTCCTTGCCTGTGGGTCACAGGCCCAGCAGCAGCAGGCACAGAAGCCACAGATGCTCCTAACACATTAACCAGCGGGACAGTGAATGGATGGAGCTTAATCTGAGATCTGGCCGCTTGGGACAGGGGCATGAGGGGCAGGGCCCTGCTGCTGGCAGAGGATCCCCCTCATTCCCCATGCTCTGCTTGCACTTGTCTTAGGACAGTCGCTAAGGGCCAGACTGGTGTCTACACATGCTTTTCTGTCATTCTGCTATGTGGTGCTGGCTTCTGCAGGGAGCTAGGCTGTGCAACTAACAGATCACAGCCTCTCAGCTATGGAGAATGGGACGGATGGGGGCGTGGGGAGGTCCTAGAGGGACAGGGTAAGTGGGAAGATGCAATGCAGGTCAGCCCTGTTTCTGAACCTTCCCTAAAGGTGGGCCTGAGCCAGCGCAGGCCCCTTAGACATCACCCACCATGACCCTGCCAGACCCTCACCCAGAGCCCCCAGCACACACCCGACCACAGCCCCTAGCCCCTACCCGATGAGACCCTGGGCCCCTAGTTTCCTCCAAACAATCCACACTCCCTGTGCATCAAATAGAGCGAACCCCAGCTGTGGGGCAGGGGGACCCCCAGCAGGAATGGCTCTATTTCTCCCCATCTCAGGATCAAGGCTGAGGCCCCTCCATTGCCTCCATCTCCTTTTCCATGGACTACATTAAAAGGGGTAGGTCTGGCACACCTTCAGATCAGCCAAAGGGGGTGATGCTCTGAGTATGTGTTTTCTCAAGAAAACAGCACTTTCCACGCCCATGCCATATATTTGGCTGGTGGGCAGCAAGGAGGAGCAGGTTCCCTCTGAAACTACAAAGCCAGCCTAGACTCCTGCCCAGGGAAATCAAGACAGAATCTCAGCTGCTGAGGAAAGTGGGGCTTGGGTCTCCAAGCCCAGGAGAAGCCTCCCTTATTCTGTCCCCACCTCTGGTTGCCTACTCAGGTCCCAACCCAGCTCATCTCAGGCCCAGCCCCCCACCAGTGGGGCACAGAGCTCGGTGCCCCTGGGTGACCCCGTGCTTGTTCTTGCCTTCCCCAGGGCTGAAGACCATCGTGGGGGCCCTGATTCAGTCTGTGAAGAAGCTGGCTGATGTGATGGTCCTCACGGTCTTCTGCCTCAGTGTCTTTGCCCTCATCGGCCTGCAGCTCTTCATGGGCAACCTAAGGCACAAGTGCGTGCGCAACTTCACAGCGCTCAACGGCACCAACGGCTCCGTGGAGGCCGATGGCTTGGTGTGGGAGTCCCTGGACCTTTACCTCAGTGATCCAGGTGCGAACTCTCTCTGCAGCTGGGGAAGGCTTTGCGAGACCAGCAGGGCGGGGTCACCTCCCACACATGCGTCACCAGCGGGCAGGCCTCCAGGGTTGTTCGAGCCCTGTCTGATCCCCCAGAGACCCAGACAGAGGACAGATGGGGAGCAGACTTAGGGCCTGCCTTGTGACTTCCCAGGCTAGATGGGGAGGCGATGCTTGAGGAGTGGGAAGTACGGAGTTAGATGGAGGGCCAGCTGGGGGAAGAGCAGCTGCAGCATTTGGAGATGGGACTGACCCTAGAGTGTTGCAATGGCAAGGTGACCAGCCTGCCCACAGACTGTCAGCTTAGGAAAGGGCTGGACACGGAGCCGGAGTAGTTGATGAGGCTTCAGAGTGAAGCCCCACCTAGCTGGCATGGAGATCTCCCGGTTGACGTCAGTGTTCCTTGCCAGGATGCTAATTCCATGTACGTGTACCCCAGAACCCTGCAAGGGAGTTGGAACAAGCCCAGTGATTGTGCCAAGTTGTGTGAGCCCCTCTGTTGTTTCACTGCCCTGTGGCTCACACTTCCATTCTCCAGGCTGATGGCCAGCACTGCTCTTGACTAGAGCCATTGGTCTGTTTCAGAGGTACATGCTGCTGTGAGGCCAGATTCCAGGCCACAGGACCCTGGGCCAGAATGACTCTGAGGGCCATTCTGAGGTTAGGGCCTCTTACATACACCAGCAGTCCACTTTGGAAAACGAAACATAGACACTCAGTGAGTAGTTCAGCAGTGGCCTCATAACAGTGGTTCTAAAACTTCCATGTGCACCCAAGTCACCTAGAAGGCTCTGGAAAACAGATTTCTGGGCCCCACCACCCCTAGAGTTTCTGAGTCAGTAGGTCTGGGTGGCAGTCGGGAAGTTGCATTTCTGAGCAGTTTCCAGTTGACGCTGATGATGATGGTTCGAGGACCACGCTTTGACAACTGTCGCCTAAGACAAAGCCAGGTAATGGTGAGTGTTGGGGACTGATGACTGCCACAGAGAGGAGAGGACAAGACAGGCAGTCCTGTTTGGTGCAGCTCCATCCAGACAGACCACAGCATTAGCATGGTGACTATGGCAGGCATCACTTCTACCATTTTATGTGATGGAAGTGAGTACAGAATTGGGCAGTAGCCGGCCAAGGCCCCACAGTGACTCGGCAGCCAAGCTGGAACTCTGCCCAGACCCTTGCCTCCTGACCTTGGTGGGCCCCCTGAGTGGTTTCGGGTGGGGTGCAGAAGCTTCCTGTGGGGACAGCTGAGGCCCTGCCTCGGGCTTCCCGTGTCTTCTGAGAGCATGGGGACACTGGCAGCAGGATGTCTGCAGAGGAGCAGGAGGAAGGCCAGAGGCACAGCCAGAGTTGCCTGAAGCCTGGCCAGGCAGAGGGTAGGGGCAGGGAAGGGGCAGAGAAGAATGAAGACCACTAGTGAGGTCTCCACCTCCCCAAAACCCTGGATGCAAGGGAGAAACTTTTGGGCCAGCGTGCCCCTCACCAGCATGATGTTTCTCTTACAGAAAATTACCTGCTCAAGAACGGCACCTCCGACGTGTTGCTGTGTGGGAACAGCTCTGACGCTGGGTATGTGGCACCCACCGCCCCGGGTCTCTTTGTCCTGACAGGGGAGTCTCCTGGTGTTTTCTCAACTGATTCTATTTTCTATTGATGCCCTGACCCCAGGGACAGTGAGGCCTTCTTTTGTCTCCCTTCCCTGCCAGGACCCTTCCCCAGCTTCCCACCTTGCCCCCAGCACAGAGGAGACAGCTGCTGGAGAAAGGTCAGGGACAGAGCTGCAGGGAGAGCTAACGGAGCCCTGAAGGTGGGCTGGGACTGAGGGATAGCTCGGGATGCCTTTTACAGCCCCCCAACCAGCCCACCCCCAACTCCATTCCCTTCCAGAAGCTCCCCAGAACTGCTCCCTCCAGCTCCAGTCTTCCCTCCCTCGCTGCTGAGCTGTCCCTTGGAGTGAATGTGGTTTCCCCAGCAGCCTGGACTTTCCTTGAGATGCCCCAGTAGCCACGTGCAGCTTCCAGGGCCCTGTGCACACCAGGGTCTGGATCAGTGTGACAGTGCCATGGAGTGTTGGAGAAGGGGGTCACAGAGGGTCACCTCACAGGGGAAGTACCAAGTTTGTTGCCTCCTTCCTGTCACCAAAGAGATTGTCTGAAAGGTCTTGGGACATTAACAAGACACAGAGGTCCCTTGGATGCATCCATCCACTTGCTAAGTCCGTGTGTGTGTGTGTGTGTGTATCACACACACATACATGCACACATGACTCCAGACCAGCATTTCCTCTTTGGGAGAGAGGCTATCACCTCCAGCTCTGTGAACTGTGGATCTGCCTCACTGAACCAGTGACTGTGTGCACAGTTGTGCAAATGGGCTCCTGACATGGCCAAGCCCCAACCCATCCCCTCCAGAATCATTTCTCAACCCCATGGCCCTGCCTTTGCCCTGGGCTCATCCCGTTCAGCTCAGCTGAGGCTCACTGCTCTCCCCAACCCTGCTCTCCCCCATGCCCGTGCTGTACTCAACTCCTCATGGGGTAGACGGGCAGAGGAAGAGACATGAGCCAGGCTTGCGTGCTTCCTCTCTGTGAGGAGAGGCAACTTAATAGTAGCTGGGGATGGTGTGTCATATGGGCAGAAGGGAGCTTGATTTAGGCCTAGCAGAGTACAGATAGGTAGAGTAAAGAGGGAGATAGTGTCCCAGTTGGAGGCACGCACGAACAAAGTCACGGAGGCAGGATCCAGCCGTGTGGCACTAGGCTTGTGAAGCTCAGCTTCACAGAGCAGTGGGGCATACACTGGGTTGCCCAGGGCAATAAGTCCAGCCCAGCAAGGGTCTCAAGGGCAGCAGACCCCTGACAGCATGGAACAAAGTCTCTGTGTGTGGCTGCAGGACATGTCCCGAGGGCTACCGGTGCCTAAAGGCAGGCGAGAACCCTGACCACGGCTACACCAGCTTCGATTCCTTTGCCTGGGCCTTTCTTGCACTCTTCCGCCTGATGACGCAGGACTGCTGGGAGCGCCTCTATCAGCAGGTGTGTGTGCCCACAGAGGGACAGCAACTGTGGGCTCAGGGTCCAGGCTACACAAGTGACTAGCCAGAAGCGGCCCCAGCAACCTCCCCACTGGTGAGAGCTTTGGAGGGCACAGGGGACAAGGACCTTTGCTTCTGAGGGAGAAGGGATCCGCAAGCAAAGGAACTTTCTTTTTGCTGGTGATGAAGCACCAGTCCCTTCATATAGGATGCTGTCTGCTCTGTGAGTGGGACACTCTTTCTCCCTGTAGGATGGAATATTCTCCCTCTGTGGGCACAGCATGCCCTGAGTTGGGTGAGACATTCTGCCTCCCTCCTTGGGTGGGACACAGCCCCACTGTGTGCAGGTCATTCTCTGCAGGTCAGTACATGTCCCTCTCTATAGGTGGGACATCTCTACCCTCCTCCCTAGGCTATGGCTATTTGAGCCCCTGGTACAACTAGACCAGGTGACTTGGAAATGCCATAACCCAGTAGGGGTCCCAGTGAGGGTGACCTCTGCCCCCTTGCTCCCCCAGACCCTCAGGTCTGCAGGGAAGATCTACATGATCTTCTTCATGCTTGTCATCTTCCTGGGGTCCTTCTACCTGGTGAACCTGATCCTGGCCGTGGTCGCCATGGCCTATGAGGAGCAAAACCAAGCCACCATCGCTGAGACCGAGGCGAAGGAAAAGCGCTTCCAGGAGGCCATGGAAATGCTCAAGAAAGAACACGAGGTGGGTGAGCAGTGCCACCAAGGAGCCTCTAAGCCCTCACCTGACTGTGGGTGCTTATAGGTGGGGTATATGCTGGGTAAGGCTGGTGCCTGCAGGCATGGTACATGCCGGGTAAAGCTGGTTCCTGTGGGCATGGTGCAGTCCCTGCTGGGTAAAGGTATTTTCTGTGAATGTGGTATCTGCTGAGTAAAAATTTGGAACCTGCTGGGTTAAGACGTGCCTGTTAGTGAGGAGCCTACCAGGTAAAAGTGACATCTGCTGGGTAAGGTGGGTCCTATGAGTGGGGCTTGTGCTGGGTAAACTTGTTCCTATGGTCATCCTGTCTTCCAGATGAAAGTGGCGCCAGCTGGGTAAAAATGGTGCCTGCTGGGTGGTAGCTCCTGGGTGAAGATGGTCTCGGTGAGCACAGTGCATGCTGGATAAGAGATCCGTGTGTCCATGCACATAGTTTATTCCGGTCAAGGAATGCCTTCCGGTGGGGTAGTGAAGAAGGTCCAATGTCAGAGAACAGAGCTATCTCAGAAAATAAGCACTGACAATGTTGCCCTAGCCGTCCCCAGTCCCCCACATGGTGGAGCCTGGAGGCTGGTTATAGAGTGAGCTATTAGAAGCCAGGCTGTGGGCACCCACTTGTTCTTCTCACTGCCCCATGCCACATCTTCCAGTACACTTTTGGCCAGCTAAACCTTCTAGGAGAGGCTCTGCCCTCTGGTTCTGCCACTTCTCTGCTCATCCACACCCACCTCCCACCTGTTCCACACACTCCCCTCTTCCAAGACTGCCCACTTTAGCCACTCCTATTTTCCTTCCTGGATCTTGATCTTCCCCAAAATATTCTGGGTCTGTCTGAGTTTATCTCCATGATGTCCTCATTTTGGAGTAGGTGTGCAAGTCCACTTACTGATAGAGAAATCCAAGTCACTGAGAGTTGCCTGGCCTGCCTGAGCCTGAGGCTGCACAAAGTCTCAATGATGGAAACATCCCTTCCTCCACTCTTTTCCAGGCCCTTACCATCAGGGGTGTGGATACCGTGTCCCGTAGCTCCTTGGAGATGTCCCCTTTGGCCCCAGTAAACAGCCATGAGAGAAGAAGCAAGAGGAGAAAACGGATGTCTTCAGGAACTGAGGAGTGTGGGGAGGACAGGCTCCCCAAGTCTGACTCAGAAGATGGTCCCAGAGCAGTGGTAATCCCAGCTGTGGTTCTAGCTTTTCCAGGGTGGGTCAGGCATGAAAAGCTCATCATGCTAGGCTCCTGTACAGTCACAGCCCCCACGGTTGCTCCTCTCTGCCCTTCCTGTTTCCCATGGCCTTCCTTAGAGTAGGGAAGCTCTGGGCAGAGGGACAGGCTAGTTTTGGGTGTTGTGATATCCCCAACCTGAGGCCAATATCCCAGCACTGGAGCTGGGGCTAGGGGACGAGGCCCCATGGTATGGGTTGGTAGGAGTTCAAGGACATGCCCATAAGAGTGAGGGGCCATTCTGAGTGCCCCAGGTCCTGCTCAGACCGGGCCTGTCTGCAACACCAGGAGCCTTCCTGCCTCCTTCTCCCTTACCCAACCTGAGCTCTAACTCCAAGCCCAGTTAAGTTTCAGGCTCCCAGCTCCAGAGACATAGATTTGAGGGGAGTAGAGATCCTAGAAGATACAGGATTATCTCTAACCCCACATCCCCTCTCCCAAGTACCCCTGGCCCAACCCACCCAGTTCCTATGTGGCAAAAAAAGCCCTCAATGCTCCGAGAAGTTTGGCTGAGGCCAATGGCACAAAAGACAGGCTGGGAGCGCATGAAGAGCACATGTCATGGTCGTGTCCCCTCTCCTCGTGCCCTTAGAATCATCTCAGCCTCACCCACGGCCTCAGCAGGACTTCTGTGAAGCCACGTTCCAGCCGCGGGAGCATTTTCACCTTTCGCCGGCGAGACCTGGGTTCCGAAACAGATTTTGCAGATGATGAAAACAGCACAGCGGGGGAGAGCGAGAGCCACCACACATCACTGCTGGTGCCCTGGCCCCTGCGCCGGACCAGTGCCCAGGGACAGCCCAGTCCTGGAACCTCGACTCCTGGCCACGCCCTCAATGGCAAAAAGAACAGCACTGTGGACTGCAATGGAGTGGTCTCCTTACTGGGGGCAGGTGACCCGGAGGCCACATCCCCAGGAAGCCACCTCCTCCGCCCTGTGATGCTAGAGCACCCACCAGACACGGTGAGCCAGCCCCGAGATGCAGGCACCAGGGCAGTTCTGGTCTCTCAAACCGATCACGAGTGCCAAGTCCAAAAATACTCACCAAATATTTGTTGAGCACCTTGTATGTGCTGGGCTCTAGGTGCATAAACTTACAAAAAAAATCTCTGCCCTCATAGAGCATCCATGCTAATGGGGACAGACAGACAAAAATCAAAGGAAAGCCAGGTGCGATGGGGCACGCCTGTAATCCCAGCACTTTGGGAGGCCGAGATGGGGAGATCACGTGAGGTCAGGAGTTCAAGACCAGCCTGGCCAACGTGGTAAAACCCCATCTCTACTAAAAATACAAAAATTAGCTGGGCGTGGAGGTGCATACCTGTAATCCCAGCTACTTGGGAGGCTGAGACAGAAGAATCACTTGAACTCAGGAGGCAGAGGTTGCAGTGGGCTGAGATCACGCCATTGCACTTCAGCCTGGGCAACTCCATCTCAAAAAAAAAAATCAAAAAAGAAAAAATGTCTATATTGTGTGTGGTGGGGATAAAGAAGGATAATAGTTAAATATGTCACAGCTAGTAACGCTGCCATGACCATCATCTGGGGAAGCCTGTTCCGGGCACAAGGAACAGCAAGCACGGAGGCCCAGAGGCAGAATCTGCCTGGCCTGTTGGAGGAGATGCCATGAGGTCAGTGTGGCTGGAACAGAGGGAGCGACGGCGAGAGAAGTTGCAGTGACTGTTCCAAAGGTGATAGGAAGGGACTGGCCAGATTGTGAAAGGCCAATCAGAACTTTGGTCACTTAGTCAATCCTATGACAGACTCGTGGCTGCCCAATCAGCCATCAGGTGTCCTTGCGGACCCCAGGCCGCCAACACAATGACCAGAGCAGCCCACCCAGGAAAAAGCTGAACATCTGGCTCAGCCCCCAAGGCCCGCAGGGTACACTTGGAGAGGAAGGTAGAACGGATGGGAGGCTTGACCAGGAAGGTGGAGGGTGGCCTGAAGATGCAGGGCTCCCAGCCGCATGGCTTATTTCATGCCACTCAGACTCTTGCTCAATCTGTGGAACATGGTACAGGTTAATTAATCTCTTTGTGCCTCAATTTCCTCATCTGTAAAGTGAAAATCATACGCCAGCAAGTTGTGGTGAGGACTGAAAGAGTGCAACTAGGTCCAGTGTTGAGACCCGGACTTGCCTGGTGTTGGAGTCATCAGTATTATCTGTTATCAGTATTAGTGAGCAGGAAGGAGTGAGGTTCCTGGGGCACATTGCAGAATGCCCAGGGTCCCACACTCCTCTGGAGCACAGTGTGAAGGGAGGAAACTGGGCACCCCTGGGGGCAGACCACAGCTTTAGGTAAAGCTGGGGAGGCCCTGGCCCATCTGAAGGGTGGGGTGTCTAGCTTCCAGGAACACTAAACCAGGCAGGTTCAGCCCTGGAGCTTCAGCCTCATGGAATCAGGTCAGCAGCTGCGAGCGCTAATAGAATTTCCTAATCTCGTTAAGGAGAAAATCATCTCATTGTACTGCACATGTCGGGAGGAATCCAAGTTCAAGCACTTCATTACCAGGAATTCTGACTTCACCCATTCTCACTTCTGTGGGGCCCATTTGTAACCTTAAAGGGATTAGCAGGCCAAGACAGGGTCATTTGCAAAGTTAAAGGAATTAGCGAACCAAGATGGAGACATTTGAAGAGTCAAAGAGATTAGCAGGCTGCAGGCCCTGGGAATGCCTTCTGTGCTTTCACTGGGTCCCCAGTGACACATTCCTGCCCAGTTCTAGTCTGAAAACAGAGCACAGTGTTGGGCACACTGTGGATGCCTAATCAACAAGGATGGGGAGGAAGGGCCAGCCCAGCAGACAGCTCATGTTCAGTTTAACCAGATTGGGAGGTAGGGACTGAAGACTTACTTTGCCCTCTGCTTGTATGAGACTGCCTGGTTCCAAACGTCTAGATGTAGGTGGGAGACGCACACTGAATATCCATTCCTTTTCTCCCCCTGCATGTTAAATCTTCATCCTCATTTCCTGTGGCCACCTAGCAAGTTAGGAACAGAGCTGGAACTCTAACCCAAGCCTTCTGATTGATTCCCAAGTATTTATCCATCCATCTAATATTTATCTAGTGCCAGCCTGCCATGTGGAGTGCCAGGCAGTGTTGAGACTCCAGGGTTATATCAGCAAACAAAGAAGGCAAGATCACTGTCCTCTTGGAGTTTATACCATAGTTAGGAAGACAGTAAACTAATCAATATTTTCAGGTAGCAATAAGTCATGTGATAGCAAGTTGCTAAGGGGAGAGATGAGGATGAGGACTATTAGAATACTTGGGAAAGGCCTTCCCAAGGAGGTAACATTAAAATTGACAGGCAAATGATTTTAGGGAGCCAGCCCTAAAGATGCAGAGGAATAGCATTCAGGTAGAGGGAATAGCAAGTGCAAAGCCCCTGAGGAGGACACATCCAAGGGATGAGAGTGACTAACAGGGCCAGGTGTGGTGAAACATTAAAATGAGTTTCATGAGTTAGGATTTGGACTGTGCAGGACCTTCTAGACCATAGAAAAGTTTGGATATACTGTGTGAGTAAGATGGGGAGGAGTAGGATGGGAGGAGTTGTTGAACAGAGGAATGACATTATCTGATTCACTTTTTAAAGGAATCCCTTTCTACTATGCAGAGAATAGAGGGACGAAAAGAAGAAAAGAAGCCAGTTAGGAGGCCGTTGTAGTGGTTTTGGGAAAGGGATGATGACCACCTGGACTAGGATGGTGTATTAGTCAGCTACTGTCATAACAACGCTGTGTAGCAAACTACCCCAGAAGTCAATATCTAGCAACAAGCCTTTATTCTCATGCTCACTCATCTGCAGGTTGACTACAGCGTGGCCCACGTAGGTTAGGCTTAGCTGGGAAGCCCTGCTCCAGACTGCACACTGGCTGGGCTGGGCTCCATGCTGTGGGTTAGGCTCAGGGCTGCTCCACGTCTTTGTTCTGAGGCCCAGGCTGGAAGGGTGACAGCTACCTGGGGAAGCTCTTTTCATGGAGAATTCCTGGAGCACAAGAGCAAGATAAACAGCACTAGCCCAGTTGAGGTTTCTGTTCACAGCGTGTCCACTAACATTCTGTTGTCCAAAGAAAGCCATTCATGCCCAGGGTAGGGAAGTTTAATTCACCCTCAGTGGGAGGGGAAAGAGAGTGCATATGTGCCAAGTGATAACCAAACTATCATAGATGGCAAAGAAGGAGGGGAGAAGTTGGGAAAATTTAAAACTTGCTTGTGAGTTAAGCTGGCCAAATTCATGGTTGCGTTGGACCCAGGGTAGTACCATTGCACCAGCCACCTCAGCCCTCTCAGGTGCCTCCACTTGAATACTTCCATGACTTGGAGTTCACTACCTCCCTAGGCAACATTTCAGAGAAGTCCTACCAATGGCCGGGGTGTCCTTAACTTGAGCCCAGATCTATCTGGTACCCACCCTATGCCCTGCTTCTTCTACCCTGGGTAGTCTAGGCCCATCTTCCCTCTGCCCTGCGAAGATTACAGAGTCTTGCTATTGCATGCTGAACAGCTCAGCGCCTGGGCTGTGGTCATGCAGGGCCCTGCTGAAGTGAAGGCTTTATTGGCCCTCCTTGGTTCTGTGGGAGGCTCCAGGTAAGCCTAGAGAATGCCTGCCTGCCACCTCCCTTCACCAGGGCTGTTTCCAGGCCTGGGTTTTATACTGATAAAAATGGTGCATGCATGGTGAAAACAAACCCCACAGTGCAGAAGTACACAGTGCAGAAGTGAAAAGGGAACTTCTCCCTCTCTTTCCCCTCCCCCACAATCCCATTCCCCAGATATGTCCACTTTAATCATTTGGTATGCATTTTCCAGATCTTTTTCTTGTTTTTTCATCAAACTGTTTGCCTTGGAGATGTCCCCATGGGAGCATACAAAGAACTGCCTCATTCTCTTTGTTGTCTATCAGAGCCCAGAGTTGGATTGTGTCTATAATTGATTTGAATATGGTTGCTATTGATTGGTTGTTTTGTTCTTATGGTATTAGGAACAGTGCTGCAATGAACATCATTTATGTGTATTTTTGATGCATATATGTAATTATTTATGAAGTTAGATTACCAGATGAGGACTTGGAGGGCCAATTTAAAATTTTCTTGGTAAATCCAGCCTAACTGCCCCCACAAAAGACACAGCCTCCCACCAGCCACGTGTAAGCATTGTACTTTATCCTTCTATTAGCATTATCTTAGAGCATGTTAGATTTTTTTTTCAGCTTCTTTATGCTCTTGACGCTAGGAAGCTTGTGGTCAATTAAGACTCCCAGATCATTTTTGCATGTACTAATGTGTATGACAGCATCAGGCTCAGGGAGGACCTGTGATATATGTAGCTTCCTGACCACACTCAGGAATCACTGCTGATGAGAGGCAGTGAAGAAGAAACGAGAATGAAGGAGACAGTGATTGGCAGGAGGGGTGGAGGGAGTTCTTAACTGGGAGGGAGTTGGGAACAGAGAAGCCCAGCATCCAGTGTCCCATCAAGACCTTCATCTTGATGGCATCCCCAGCCTGAGTCTGGACTGGCCACCCCAGCTCCAGCAGGAATAGAGCTAGAGGCAGGACCCCTTTCCCCAGGCTGACGCAAATCTCCTGATTGCACTCAGACCACACCATCGGAGGAGCTAGGCGGGCCCCAGATGCTGACCCCCCAGGTTCCATGTATAGATGGCTTCGAGGAGCCAGGAGCACGGCAGCGGGCTCTCAGCGCAGTCAGTGTCCTCACCAGCGCACTGGAAGGTCAGCACCCCCAGGTCATTTAAATACTCCCCACCTCTGCTGCAGGCACCCTTACCTTCATCCCAGCCTGATCCAGGCATCCCCCATTTGTCTTGGCCTGCTTTGGACATCCCCACACTGTCCCAGCCTTCTCTGTTCTGTGGAGCCTTGCCTGTCCTTCCGTCTCTTCTCATCTGTGTCAGCTTGTTCTCTCCTGGGCATCACCATGTCTGTGTTTCTCCCAAACACTCCCACATCTGGCCTGTCCCAGATGCTTATCAGTCTCATTCCATCATCTCCCAACCATAACCATGTCTGTCTAGGACCATCCTGTCCTGAGCACACCCGTATCTGTTCTAGCTATTCCCATATCTACTTCAGGCTATTCCAGGCATCCCACATCTTTCCCAGCCATTCTTGCCCTGGGCAACTCCACATCCCTTCCAGTCTGAATTTGGCACCCCCCATCCTGATCTTGTTCCCTCCTATCTCAGATGTATTCTCATCTTTTCCAGCCGGCCCTCGGCATCCCCTCCCCCATTTGTCCTGACACATCCCAGATGTCCACATCTGTCCCTACCCATTCTGTCCCAGGTGTCCTTGTGCCCGAACTTGCCTGTCCCCATTACTGTTTCATCATTTTCAGCCTGTCCTCCCCTGAGTGTCCCCAGGTCTATGTGGGACTGTTGTCTTAAGCAGTTGTACGTTTGTCCTAATAATCTCTCCTGTCCCCATTTTCCCCGCCTCCATCTTTGTTTCCTGTCCCTGTGGCCCTCTTCTCTCATATTTCCAGACTAAGGAGCTAAGACACAAGCCACCCATTCCCTCGGCCTTCGCTGCCCCCACTGTCCCACTGTCATGTAGCAGCCCTGTCATCTCCCAAAGCAAGTCATAAATCTTTTCTGGAAGGTATTCCAGATACATATGGCTCAGTCAACAGAATCAAACTAACTCACTGGCTGTCCCCTCAGAGTTAGAGGAGTCTCGCCGCAAGTGTCCACCATGCTGGAACCGCCTCGCCCAGCGCTACCTGATCTGGGAGTGCTGCCCACTGTGGATGTCCATCAAGCAGGGAGTGAAGTTGGTGGTCATGGACCCGTTTGCTGACCTCACCATCACTATGTGCATCGTGCTCAACACACTCTTCATGGCGCTGGAGCACTACAACATGACAAGTGAATTCGAGGAGATGCTGCAGGTCGGAAACCTGGTAAGAGCCACCTGCAGCTGGCTATAAAATGGGCATCCTGGCAGGAGGGAACCTCAGGCAGCTGGCACAGCCTTCATGGGTAAGGGAGAAGGGATCCTGCACACAGAAGGATCTTTTGAGAGTGGGAATCATCATAGAAGACATCTTGGAGGAGGGAGGGAATCTCAAGGTCGGCTTCTAAGGAGCTGAGAAATGTAGATTTGGAGTGGGAGGGTGGAGTGAAAAGTTTATGCAGATGTTCAGAGTCTAGAAAACAAAAGTGAGCTGGGGGTAAACCTAAAATGTGTGGAGACTTGAGATTTTGTAATTTGTAGATGGAGGAGAGTGTGTGCAGGAGGTAGTTCTCTTATGGACCGAGCTTGCATCAGTGTTGTTGGATGGGGGAAATTGTGGATGAATGGTTGGATAGAAGGAGGGAAAGATGGAGGGATGGGTGGGTGGATGGATGGATGGATGAATGGATGGATGGATGGGTGGATGGATAGCTGGGTGTAGTAAGTAAATCAGGCAGAGCCAGATTTGAATTCTGACTCAGCTCTTACTAACTAGCTGATCTCAAGCAATTTACTCAGTAATTGGCCCAATAAATATTTGTTGAATTCAATAAATGGGAAATTAGTATGACAATATCAACCTCATAGGAAGGTAATGAGGATTGAATAAGATAATATCTATAATCTGCTTGGCTCATAGATTGATAAGCAGTAAGCACTCAAAACAAATGATAGCTGTGCTATTGTTGTTGTTGTTAGATTGCTCCTGGAAGTCAGAATGTCTGGGTTCTAATTCCGATTTTTTTTTTCTTGATACTAAATCAAGTCCTGCCTCTTTATTATACGGATAGGGAAACCGAGGCCCAGAGACCGGAGGGATGACATGGCAGGGGCAGAGTTGGGCATCTCTCAACTCCCAGGACAGGTCCATATTGGATCAGTCCAGGTAAACAGAGTCAGCTCATCTTTAGAGGATCCCAGGGCAGAGTTGCCATGAGCCCACTGGCCTCAAAAAGGAGCTTCTGAGATCACCACTGAGGTTGGTGTGAGGATGGTAGGGGGACTTCTGGCCCCATTTGATCTAAGCTTGCTCTTACTGCAGACCCAGCCTGTCTTAGGCCCAGCTGTTCAAGTGACCCCCACAGGCAGGTAGGTCTCTCACACTGTGGGGTATGAGGATTTTCTTTTCTTCTTACTTTCCAAACCCAGGACTCTAGTTAGTTCTCTGCAGGGCCTATTGAGATTTTTTTCACCAATTTGAGTCCACTTGCTGTAATTTTACTTTTCTTTCCTTCTATGTGCAAACAGAAGGGAAAGCTACATCTCAGTGGGTAGAAGTCTCATGGCACTGTTGGGAATGTTGGGTGGTCTTCAGATGGTAGTTATGCAGGGTTTCAGTTGAGTGTGGTTTATCAGGTTGTGACCATTGGGTTGGACTGAGCAGCAAGTTAGGTGTGATGAACAGCACTGGTGGCTTCACTGGGTCAGCAAGTTGTGGCTAAACTGCAGTTGTATTAAACTTGTCATTAAATTATAGATAACAGGCAGTGTAGTTGGGTTATAGCTATATTTTGTTCTGTTTGAATAGCTTTATTGCTAGTATGTAAGGTTTTGATTTTATTGCATTTAATATATTCTAGGTAGTTTAAATATTAAGTGTTAAGAAATAATACCATAAAAATAAGCATGAGTAAATAATCAGCTTGGGAAAAGCCTTTCTAAGCATGTGTCTGAAGACAAATTCCATAAAGGAGAAGATTGATAGATTTAACTAACTTTTTAGCCCATCACACAAATAAAGATAAAAGGCAAATGAAACTTCTGTTTCCAGCAATATTATGGACAAGAAAATCTGAAAAGTCTCCTATTAATAAACAATTTAAGATACAGCAAACAGTCTTTGAATTACGTAGCTAAGTGCATGAGAAAGTACAGTAGTTCCTCCTATCCACAATTCTGCTTTCCATGGTTTCAGTTACCCATGGTCACCCATGATGTGAAAATATTAAATAGAAAATTCCAGAAATAAACAATTTATTAGTTTTAAATGGCACACCGTTCTGAGTATTACGATGAAATCTCACACTGTCTTGCTCCATTCTGCTTGGGGACATGAATTGTCCCTTTGTTCAGCGTATCGTGCTCTATATGCAACCTACCCATTAGTCATTTACTAGCGATTTCTGTTATCAAATAGACTGTTGTGGTATCACAGTGTTTGTGTTCAAGTAACCCTTATTGTACTTAATTGTTATTCTCCAAAGCAGAAGAGTAATGATGCTGGCAATACAGATGTGCCAAAGAGAAGCCAAATATATAACAAAGAGAAGTTGTTCATCTCTTATTGTGCCCAATTTATAAATCAAACTTTATCAGAGGTATGTAGATTTACGAAAAGGCATAGTATATATAGGGTTCAGTAATATCCATGGTTTCAGGCACTCACTAGGAGCCTTGTTGGAATGTATTCCCCATAGATAAGAGGGGGCTACTGTAACGGAAACCCGAAGTGCCAAAAACAAAAAGAAACTTAAAAACCATAGCAGTAAACTTGTGAAATGGCTCTATAGCTGCCGTGGGTAGGGTGGGGAGGTGTTGATTTGCATAATCTGGAGGCTTGGATTTTAATGAGCATGTAGAGACAAGACACTCAACCTTGGGACAGTGTGAGTAGGGGTCGAAACTGAGTAGCCCCATAAGAATATGACCATACATTCAGAAAAATGGTGATCCAGAAAAAACCTACACACAAACCCTGGGAAATGATAAAGAAGCCCTGTCTTAGCCAGGGCTGGAAAGGAAAAAAGTAACCCCTGAAAGGCTGTGACTATGGATTTGGCCTCATACAGATTTGGGGTTCATATTTACACCTGAGTAGTCCTGGAACCTACATCTAAAAAATTAACATAGAAAGTGATCCTAGAATAATGTCTTGGGGCCCCTAAAAGGGAACAAAACTTCTCTGGAAGGACACACCTTTAGCCCAGGTCAAACTGGATTTCCCAAATTATAAAACACAGAAGGAAATATTCCACCATGAGGAAGAGTCAGCAGACACACACACAGACAGACACAATCAGGCTATCCCCTTTAAAATGTCACATAGTAGAATTGCTTGATAGAGATTATAAAAATGTTCATAATTGGCCAGGTGCGGTATTTCACACCTGTAATTCCAGCACTTTGTGAGGCCGAGGTGGGCAGATTGCTTGAGCTCAGGAATTCGAGACCAGCCTGGACAACATGGCAAGACCCTGTCTCTACTACAAATACACAAAAATAGCCAGGTATGGTGGTGTGCACCTGTGGTCCTAGCTACTTGGGAGGCTGAGGTGGGAGGATCACTTGGACCCCCCAGCGGGGCCGAGATTGCAGTGAGCTGAGATCATATCACTTCACTCCAGTCTTGGTGACAGGACGAGACTCTGCTCAAAAAAAAAAAAAAAAAAAAAAGTTCATAATAACCAGAGACATAAAATAAGAGATTAAAAACATAAGAAAATAATACAGCTTTGAAAAGGAACCAAATAAAATCTCCATAAATGAAAAATATAGCCATTGAGATTAAAATTTCAATGTACACATTAAATAGTATATTAATACAGTTGAGGAGATAATTAAATGATTGTAAATTTAGATCTAATACAGTTGCCCAGAATGTAATATAGAGAGATGAAGAGAAGAAATAGAAGAAAGAAGGAAGAAAAACATATCTGACATTATTTTCCAGATTATGTTGTTGTCTATTTAAATCATTTTAGAAAATCTACAGAGAGGCTGTTAGAACTAATACAAGAGTTCAACAATATTAGTGGGTACAGCTTCAGTATTCCAAATAGTGTTCCTAGCCACCATCAACAATCAATTGGAGAAAATAAATTTTTAAAGTTATCACTTATGATCACAATAAAAACATGAGAAATTTAGCGATAAATATAACAAAAGATATGCAAATTTCATATGAAAAAATATGAAATTGCCAAAAAACATAAAAGAAGACATAAAAGTGGAGAGATGTGCCATTTTCATGAATGAAAGTATGACTATTGTAGAGATACAAATTCTTCCCAAATGAACCTATAAGTTCAATGTAATTCCAGTCAAAATCTCAATACTTTTTTTAATGGAACTTGACAAGATAATCCTAAAACTCATATGGAAAGTAAAGCAGATCAAGACAAATTAAGGACTAAGGTAGGGAATTTACCATAGTATGTTAAGATATCTTAGAAAGCTAAAAATATTATAGTATTGGTGCAGGGATGGAAAAAAAGATTGTGCTACAGAATTGAGAACACAGAAATAGAACAATCCATATTTGGTAACTTGATAAATAACAGAGATGGTAATATAAATCAGTAGGAAAAGGCCGAGTGTGGTGGCTCATGCCTGTAATCTCAGCACTTTGGGAGGCCAGCCGAGGCGAGCAGATCATCTGAGGTTGGGAGTTAGAGACCAGCCTGGCCAACATGGTGAAAGCATGTCTCTACTAAAAATACAAAAATTAGCTGGGTATGGTGGCATGCACCTGTAGTCCCAGCTACTCAGGAGGCTGAAGCAGGAGAATCACTTGAACCTGGGAGGTGGAGGTTGCAGTGAGCTGAGATCGCACCACTACACCCCAGACTGGGTGATAGAGTGAGACCCTTTCTCAAAAAATAAAATAAAATAAAATAAAATAAATCAGTAGGAAAAGGATGGGACTGTTTAATAAATGATGCTGGGAGAATGGTTATCTGTGTGGAAGAAAATCAATTTAGATCCCTACCTCACATCATATTCATAAATTAGATGCAGGGGAATTGTACTTAACACCCAAATGTGACAAAGCAAAACCTTAAAGTTTTTAGAATAACAACAGGAGAAAAAGCTTTAAGATCTTCGGGTTGGGAAGGCCTTCAATAATCCAAAAAAGCTTACATCATGAAAGAAAAGATTGCTAAATTATAAATTGTTAAAATTTGTAATCTCTGTACAACAAGGGATATTACAAACTAAGTGAAATCA